GAAACTATAATGCTTTAAATATTTAAACCTTGTTAATAATTAAAATGAGCTCAAGGATGTCATAGCTGTATAACAATATTATTGCAATATTAGGACCTAGAAACAAGAAAATGCCATTTAGGATATATTCTGACCATGCTTGTAGTGGTAACCATTAGAATCCACAAATCCATCAAAGTCAGTGAGCTGAAAAAAAAAACCATGATGATACTTTAGTGGTGATGTCCTAATAATTGAAAACACACCAACATATGGACAATTATGATAAATTGCTAATGATAAACAGTTACTGTCAAAGGTCTCCTAAACTTCAGCTATTAGAGTGTCACACTCCACTCAAATTTTTTGTACTAATGTCTTTGGAAAGTTTATAAGTATTAAATATATATTGTGGATAAAACAGAAAACTTGATCCATGTTCGAGGGAAAACGGAAGAGAATAAATTCAATTATGAACAGATATGGTTGTATTTTCTATAACTTGGAAATTGGTGATATTACATTTTACCCTCTACTTGGATTTGCATGATTCAAGGGTTTAAATAGGCGCTCGCTTAGGTGTTTGGGAGGCGAGGCTGGATGCCAACAAAAATAAATGGTAAAGGGAGCATCCAGGGACTTCCTTTACGTTTAGGTGTACAAATTAGGAAAAAAAAATTGACTTGTACACCTAACTATCTCATGTATAACAACATTGGCATCCAGGGACTTCCTTTACGTTGTTAGGTTTTGTTTCCTGATTTTATAGTGATTCTACCACAGTTCTTGTGAATTGGTTTAAATGAATTTTTCTTTATTGAAAGCTTTACAAATTTTTGTGATAATGTAAGTTTCTTTTCTTTTTTGATAATATACCCATTTTGTCACAGGTTGCTATGTCTCTTAGAACAGTAGATTGCCTTGTGATTGTATTGTTGAAATTCAAATAAATGCTTTGCTGTTGATTGATGTGATATATGACTTCCATTTTGATACTTTTCAAAGTCGTATGCTTCAGGAGACCGACCTCTTTTATAGTTTGGTTATAAGTGTATGTTAAACATCATGATATGAAGATTGTGAATATTTCAAAAAGATCCTTAAACTTTCTTGGGGTTGTAGAGCTATAACTATTGTTGTGAGTTTAAGGCTAAAACTATCACAAATATTTTGCAAATAGGTTAACATGGATTAATCTTAAAAACCCAACTGTACTTTTCTTATGCTGGAGACCACTGTGACTGTTACCACTTTGTCTTACCTCAGTTGCTCTTTTCCTTTTTCCTTGATATGATGGTGACTTGTTTTGGATGTTGGTGCAGGACTACATCAACAACTGGAGAGAAAGTGCTCTCATACTGACATCAATCCTGTTTGTTGCAGCAGCAATATGGTTTATAGGTTTGTTGCAGACACTATAATCTTCTAGACCATAAAATGTTTTCTTCTAGAGCTTGCCTGTAAAATGATCCATTGCTATCAATTTATCAAATCATATATGCTAAACGCTTGTTCTTATTGCATGTTGAATAGTTGGATCAAGGGATTGTATTATATTTCATGTGCATGTGTGCAGAGTGCCTATTAATTACATGAATTCTCTCCATTCTTGTGGAAGAATCTAATACCTACAGTAGGATTTACTTCATCCAATGTAAATATATAATTTTCGTGCACATTTTGTATGTTTCGTTGCTAGTGCTTATAGTGGCATATTTGTCACCAGAGCATTAGTCGTAGGTCTCATCTACAGACATTTTTAGTAAATTGAACCCTTTTTCTTGCTTTGCTGTGTCTAATGTGGCATCCTCTGCATTCTACTACTTGGTTTCATTTTCAACTACTTGAACAACTAATCCAATTGCATTGTGAGCAGGTATCTTTCTTAAAAGCGTAGACCGCTTTAATGAAGATAGCGAACAAGGTGTTCCATCTGTTGAACGGTCAAATCGGAGGCCACTACTTGATGTTAATGTCGAGACATCATAAGAGTCCTCCTAAGACTCAAAAAAGTGTTGGGCAAATTGCTCTACAGCTTGTTGCTTCGGACGGGTATACAGATGAAGGCATTTCTGTTCTCAATCAGTGTGGAGATAAAATCACTCTGATCTCTTATTATCATTTTCCTTTAGTGTTTGTTACATCTGTGTATATCATTACTTTAATTCCACACAGGCGGTTTATTTGTGTAGATATTTCTTCCACAAGGTTTTTACAGTTTGTTGATCACACTGATATAGTGCAATCCAAGGATCAAAAGTGGGCTTTCACTCGATGTGGCTGTTCTTCAATCATACATAGTGCTATCCACAATTAATTAATGAGGTTTTGATCTGGAGATTAGTCTTATTGGATGTGACCTATAACATTCAAGGTACAAGCAACACTTATTCGATGGATGTTCGATGAGATAAAAAAGATTCATCTTTAGCTATGAGATAAAAAAGGGTGCGGTAACATCACGGGAAGTCGTGGTGCCCTTTTGTCTTCTTTGCTTACCACGATGAGCCTTGTCTTTCATCTTGGTACTTCTCTTGTTTTCTTTTTTTTTCTTCTTTGATGATTATATCATCTAGTTATATTTAACTTGGTCACAGTGGAAGCTACGAAGGCTCGGAATAAATTTGGATCTAAGAAACACGATTATAAGGTTAAGGAGGGTTACTTATAAATTACTGTTGTAGTTAGTTATCTTTAGTATTTTAATTTTTATATTTTAAAAAATTATATTTATATTTTTTATAATTAAGAAAGTAAAATATTTAAGTTTATTTATTATAATAATATTAGTTTTATCAACGTAAATTTAAAAATAAATGAAAAAAGACAATTTTAATGTCTGATGACAGATGATGATGTTGTTGGCATCAACATCGATGTAGTTGATTGGTCGTTTTCATAAAGTTCGCTCTCACCGCAATACCTCATGCCTTCACGGGGAGTGTACCATTGACATTATCGTCGCTCAGCTCGCATTGCTTTATATCTGTGTTGACGTTGATGTAATTGTTAAGCAACAACTGCGTCGACATCGACTTAGATGATGGTGGTCACTTCGTCGTTGACTCGTTGGGCAGATCCCAACCTCAATCAGAAGATGGGGTCACCAAAGCTCCTACCACTCCTCTTTTTGCCGTGTCAACTCCAACACTAGCTCTCGCTGAGCAACCCTTTCGTCGCTCTACATTTTCGTCGTAGATGTCATAACGGCCACCATCATCTACGTCGATGCCAACGTTATTGTCGCTCAGCAATTGCGTTAGTGTTGATGCAGATGAAGAGTGATCCGAGGTGGGCAACAATAAGGTCGACGATGCACTCCTCGTGTTGGCGAGTGGCGCACGGTGAGAGCGGACCTATCATCGTCGGAGGTGGTCAGACAACTACATCGGCATCGACACCAGTAGCACCACTACCAACATCATCTACCATCAAATATTAAAATTATTTTTTTATAATTTATTTTCGTATTTTTATCGATAAAACTTACATTGCTAAAATAAATGTACTTAGCTATTTCACTTTATTGGTGTCGATATAACCTTTTAGAATGTATGTTGCAGGACATAGCTAACTAAATGAGATAAATTAGCTCGATTAAATATTATATTTCGTTTACATACTTGAATTTTTTGTAAGCCTTCATCAAATGTTGGATTATCTTTTGGTTCTGGTATTTCTTTAATCTTTTATCAATGTCCATTATCTTGATGTGGATATAACTGCAGAAGATCCAATTTGCATATGCACAATGTCAGAGACCTATCTCACCAACAGCTTCAATCTCACAACAAACACCTCAATAAGATATAGTTGCCTTCATCTGCCCGTGAAGCATAGTGATCAGTGCATAGGATGAATAATGTTTCAGAATCCACCCGACGTAGGCTGCTAAGTGAGCAATTAATTCTGGCGTATTGGAAAAATCACATTCAAACCTACTTTATAGACGATATTCGTGAATAATAATCCTCGTAATTTCAGGAAAGCAATAAGTAAGCAGCATTCTTATGTACAGTAGTTTTTACTGACTTACAATCCAGCGAAACATCATTCAGCTAATTAAATATTACTTTATACCTCTTTAGTATTTTGATCCTGAAACTTAAAAAATTTATATTAAAATTTTTATATTTATGAAAGTAAAATATATAGTTTCATTTACCCTAATATCGTTGGTGTTACCGACAGAAACATAAAAATGATAGACAAAAAGATAATTTCAATGTTTCAATCATATTTTCTGTGATGACAGACGACAACATCGTTCGGGGGCCACGGGTAACTGTTGTGGATGAGGAGAGAGAGCGACGATGAGAGATGGTAAAAAGAGAGGAGGAAAAGACCGACACAAATGCTGACGCTCTGCATTTGTGTCGACGCCGCTTGACAATTGTGTTAATGTCGCTTAGCAACTACGCCAGCACCGACGTTGATACAGAGTGATGTCACTTTGCAATTGCGTCGATGCCGATGCAAATGTGAAGCAACGCTCTGCATCTACATCAATGCAAATGCCAAGACATAATTATCAACCAACAACGCATTATCCTCTTCCTCCTCTCCCTTTGTCTTATCTTTTATCGTCACTCTTCCTCTTCATCCACACAACCACTCAGCCCCCAATAACATTATCGTCCGTCACCATCGAAAACGTAACCTAAACGTTAAAATTATTTTTTCACATGTTATTTTCGTGCTTCCATCAGTAAAACCAAAAACATTAAGACAAAAAAAATTAAATATTTTAATTTTATAACTATAAATATTTCAATATAAATTTTTTAAATCTAGAGATCAAAATATTAAAAAGATCTAACTATAAAATATAATATATAATTAACCCAAACTCATTCGACATAAAGGGGAGAGCGAGCGAGAAAACCATGCACATCAACAGCGCGTGCAGCCTAAAACCACAGAATCAGGTGAGACCAAGTAGTACAGGTGAGAGATCATGTAAGTAAATTGTTGAATACTAGATATTGTTTTTCTTTATTTTACGTCAATTCGACAGTTGGTTAGATAGGAAATGCAGTATCAACAGTTGATAAAATATTTCTTGCAAAGGGTGTCTTGAACCGAGGAGAAAACACGACACTGTAGAGTACAAATTTGAAGTCTTTGGTACTTCACTCTAGAAGAACACCCGAAACATTTTCCCAAAGCTAGTGAAATGCATCATAAATGAAGGTGCAGCCTCGTAACAGTCTTCACAATGAAAATTGTTCAAACAATCTTAAGTTATGTACTTGTGGATGTCTGCCTGAGTTTTCCTTGTAATACTATACCAGCTTCATCTGCTATGTGTTTCTTCTTAGTAGCCATCTGCACACCAGGAAACAAAGTTCACATGGTGAATTCTAGAAATTTGCCATAGTGAAGTTCAATACTTCAGATTCTTGAAGAAACAACACTTGTAACGAGAGAACAAAAAACTAGACAGCTGAGATCAATGACTTAAAAGTGAATGTGAGGCAGGCAAACCTCTAAAAGGATTGTTGAATACAAGAATCATTTACATCAATAATTATCTCAGAAAAGATTCAACAAAAAATGTAGATCAACGAATGATATGCCCATATCGATGGCAGGAGGATTTTATAAAATGTATGGACAGTAATCATATTTTGAAACTTGCAGACAGCCCTGTTTCAGATCTAAATTAATGAAAACTGCACCATAGACAAAAAACGTGGGCTTTGATCTGATCCCAATCTAAATACAATAGTTTAGGCCATATGATAAATATGAACTCAAGGAATACAGTATATTTTAAAGATGCTAATGCTTGATATAACAAGAGAGAGAGAGAGAGAGAGAGAGAAATGGAACATACGTCCGTGAGTTCATCATGATTTGACTTCAGTAAGGAAAGTTTTCTCTCACAATAGTCTTTTCCTTCAGCCATGGTCTTCTGCTATGAATAAATATGATATAAGTTAGAGAGAGCATCACAAGAAGAAAGATCATGTGAGAACACACACATACAAGGGGAAACTTATGCAAGTTGTTCTTGGTTAAAATGGATACAAAAATTATGAGCAAGGAGAAATAACAAGATATTTTTTATTAAGTGATCTAGATCAATATAGTGTAATCAAAATATGGGACCATATTGAAGCTGAGCTTTTCTACTTTTCAAAACCCTTTGAAGGGTGATCCTTCTTAATCCAGTATATATTATTAGTTTCCCACAGAACTTGTCCCTGAAACACCTTTTGGTTCTGGTTTGGAAGAAGCAAAAGTTAAGATGTTGTAGAAGCACGGTTTATGTTTTCAAAAGGATAACCTACTAGGAAATTATATAACTCTTAAATTTGCTCAGGTAATCTTCAAAATTAAAAGAGAAGTCATATGGTTAATTTCAGCACTAACAGCTAGATAGACATTCCTTTTGCCTTTGGAAGGAAAGATCCCTTTCCTGATATCAAACAATTTGCATCATTATGGTGTCATCAGAATATAGATATTTATAAAACAATTAAATTCTTTTCTCCATCTATCAGCTCCAGCAAGAAAAAGATATTCCATGCACCATATGGATGAACATTATTGCCACCAGATTTAGTAAGAAAAACAGAAAAGGATTGCAGAGTCCATCAGAACAATAATTTATTTAATGAGATTTAACTGAGTAGCATTATCAACACTCAGAAGGGTTCAGGCTCATGCAACCAGGAAAGGGCTATTTAAAATTCCCTTGATGATAGGAATGAATCTACTGGAAGAAGAAGATAAACTTTTAAACAGAATCCTGAGGATGTCTCCGAAACACAAACTAGCTAGAAGTCATGTAAAATGCAGTTCCTAGTAATGGAGCCCTCAAGTATTAGATGGGTCTCCTGTAGTATAATGAAGATGTTGGTTGTTCGAAACCTCCCTCACCATACACCATTGTCTTATATAATCTTATTGTTCCTTTTCTCCCCAAAGATGATTTCCACTAATCAATATGGACTATGAATAGCCTTGAATTTGAATAACTTCCATCTAATATAGGTCCTGACAAAACACCCTCCACAGCAGATACTTCTTGAAGTAGTTCAGACTGTAACTTTGTACAGCCCTACAACAAGCAGATGATGAGTTTCCTCGACACAATCCGAAGGTACGTCCATGCTCTAATTAAGATCAGATGATGGAGGAGGTCTCCAACTCATATAGGACAGAGAAAGCAACCAGTGTGAAGATAACTATATGATTCTGCATGCCTTCCAACTTTGTTCAGGAGCCTAAGAAAGCAACTGCAAATAGAATTCTTTTGGCGGAGGCATCTATAACAGGATACAAAAGCTTCTCTGAAACCCTGTAGCGGCGCCCAAAAACCCATCTTTACCACAACCAAACCAAGAAAGCAGTTGAAGGAGTGCATCTCTAACAATTAGCAGGAGAACAAGAAGAACCTCGATGAAGTATCCGGTTCCAACGTCGACGAGAACCTTCTCGGAATCATCGAGCGTACCGGGAACGTAAAGAGACGCCGTGAGTGGGACCAGCAACTTCTTCCCTGCCAAGCGATAACAGGGCGTCACGCACCACCATAACACGGGAACGCGAATGAAGAGCGAGGAAGAGAGGGCTGGCGGCACCTTGAGGTCGGAAGGACAGATCGTGGAGGGCGGCGGCGGCGACCTCGAGCCGCCCAGCGGCGGTGCGAATCTTGGTGAGGCTGTCCTGAAGGAGATTGACCTCGAGATCGGACTGCTCCTTGAGGGATCTTAGCTGCTCCAAGCTCAGCTTCTCCATGTCGGAAGCCCTAATTGAGGCACTCGCAGCCCCGGCTGCCATGGTCGAACCCCGTTAAATGATTAATAAGTGCATAACAATAGAGATAATTGAAGGCTATATCGCACAAAATAGAGTTATTATAATATCACGAAAAAGAAAATAAAATGCGGTGAGCGT